GGTTTTGGAGTGTGTGTGTGTGATCGTTAAGGTTGGATAGTAATGGAATGCTAGTTCTTGCAAGCTCATGTTGTTGACAAGTTTGAATTGTAAGGTTGGGAGATGGATTGGGAATCCATCAATTTTTTTGGTGGATTGGAAAAGCGCAATCGAATCCAAGTGGGGGAGAATCGTTGGTCTAAAGGTTGCACAAGAGTAAATATTCAGGTTTCAAAGCGCATCAGTAATGACGCATGGTGGGTATGTGGATGGATCCAGGTTGAGGGTTGTTTTAGAACCTCTCTGCATGTTCTTGTCCGATGAAGGATTTGGGATTCGAAGCATAACCCGCATACCTGATTGGGTTATAGTCGGATGCGGGTTCGACTCATGATGAATATGATTGGTATATTAGTTGGCAGTAAGACCATGGGTGGGTCCATGGTAGTGTGGAAGTGTTGTAAGACTACGAGGTAGACATAACATTCACCAAATTGATAGGCAATTATGGAAGTGTTGTTAGTCTGCGACGGGATCGTAGCATTCACCAGTATGAGGCAGGCCATGGTTCGAGTGGTCAGTTGGACTGAGGAAAGATCAACGCATGCCTGGGTCGAGGCGGATAGTATTGATGGGGGACCACTCCTTGATTAGTATGAGGATTGTTGGATTTAAGGCAATGTGGGGCCCGTTCGATTGTGTAGTGTGGGTGAGATCCGATGGGGTTGGTTTGAGCAAAGTATCGGGTCGCGTTTAGTGTGAGATGACTCTGGGGTCATTGGTTGGCACCTGTGTGGTGGTTAGACTTAAGTAGCTCTTATTAGTTGGACTCTCAATCAGAGTCTAGCGGATGGAACATGTGTGAGTCTATCAGCCTCTGCGGTGGGTTGAGGGTTTTATATTTCAATTCAATGAAAGGTCGCCCTAGAATTGGAGGATTTCAGATAGAATGCAAGTGTAAATCTTTAGATTTCGGGATGGGATTTGTGTCCCCGGTTGACGCAAGGGGGTTGAGACTTGCGTTGGGAGTCACCCTTGATCTCAATTGAAGGATTCAACAGTGATGAATGGTTGGTTATGTTATCTTTGGTTGGATTAGGAGGGCTGTTGGAGCCATTATGCCAGACAAACTAGGACTGCTCTTGCCAGATAGACACTCGTTCAGGAGTCGCATGGTGCGACCGTGTTAGGCTATCAGCCTCAACATCCATTAGGAATTTCGGTATATCGGTTAATTCGTAGGTAAGTACGAGACCAGGGAGGTCTCGGTTGCATCGGAATTATAAATATGGGACAACAAGATGAGCCCGAGATGGTATTAACGTTGGAGACTCATGTAGGGAGTCTCATGGTTATCGAGTGAAGGGTTTTTGCAGCAATGAATGGTTTGGGATTCTATTCCTTGTAGAAACAACGAGGTAATCCAGGGTTGGAAGGGTTTATTCTCAGTTTGGATTGCGAAGTGGAGTCGAATTGGTAGTGATTCAGAATGGTCTGTCTGTCAGGGAGTAAGATAAGGTCTTAGGATTTCGAATTTCGGCATAGTAGTGTTGTTTATTATTCAGTGGTTAATGCTTGTGGGGTAAAGATCTGTTCGTCGGCAGGATTTGAGAGCCCTGCTAAGGTTGTATTCGGTGATGGTTTTAGAAGGCCGTTGTATGTACGAGTTGACTCCTCAGTTCGTATTGGGGTTGTGGGAGTATCGCCCAAGATGTAGGGCATTTATGGAAGGTAGTAAGGAGTGATTTTAAGGACGAAATCTAATTTAAGTGGGAGAGAGTTGTAACACCTGTTTTCCAGGATGAATCGAATTAGGGTTTCAAGGAGTCAAAAGGTTGGATTTCGGAAGAAAAGAAGCCTCACAACGTGAGACATAGAGGATCACGACGTAAGATAGGTTGCATGAAAACTTTTGTTCGGGATTGGTCTCACGACGTGAGACATAGAGGCTCACGACGTGAGACATAGAGGCTCACGACGTGAGAGCTGCTACGACCCAAGCTCATGATCTTTTTGGGTTTCCTCCGTGTTTAAACACATCTAAACTTATTTTAGGGTTTCTTATCAGCCCCAAACCTTCTTTCACCTAAGAAAACCCCTAGTCTTCATCATTGCTTGATCTTTGGTCATTTTGGAGCTTTTCTTGGCTAGGAAGAAGGAGAAAAGAAGAAGAAGAAGGTGATCTTGTGTTGAGGTTGTAAGGAATAATCATCATCATTATCTTACAATGTTTATGGACCATTGCAAGTATCAAAGATTCCTCCTTTATTGTTCTATGAAGCTAGATCTAGGTTTTGTCCCATATTTCCTCTTGGTTGTGCAAGTTTGATGAATGGACACCATAAAGTTGGCAACTTTATGTGTTATTAGGGTCTTAAGAGTGATATGGAGTTCAGATCTTGTGAATGGTTGAGTTTTGGAACCTTGCATGAAAGTTGGATGTCTTTTCTTTAACTTTTGACCCAAATGAGATCTAGACATGTATTGGACATATATGTATCAAAAGCATCGACTTTCCAATGTATAATAGAGTTATAAGACCCTCTAGAAAGTTAGGGTTCAAGGCTTAATGGGTTAAGGACTTAAAATTTGGACTTTTGGCTTCAGATTATTCTCACGACGTGAGGGTTGAATAAACTTATTTTTGGTTAGCTTCTTGGAGCTCACGACATGGGAGGAGGCTTTTCACGACGTGAGGTTAGCTCCAGTGACTTTTTATGTCTGAGTTGATTGAGTTGGGGCGGGCTGAGTTGGAATCAGACCGAGTGGGATCTCACGACGTGACCAAGGACTAGTCACGAACTGAGGATGAATAGTTGGCATTTTGGGCTTTTGGTTGGGCCTTTATGGAATTGGGCCTGCATTGGGCCTTGGGTGTCTTTTGCATTTGGGCCGGTTATTGGGCTTTTAGTGCCATTGAGTTTGGACCTTGCTCTTTGGGCCGGTTGAGGGGAAGAGTAAAATGGTCTTTTACCCTAGGAGTCGGGATTAGTGATTAAGTCTCGATTATGGTTATGCATGATTATTGATCATGATTGTATTTGATTGGTTAACACGGGGATTCTCTGGTCCAGTAGCTCGATCATCTATTCGATTGTTAGCGGACTGAGGTGATTTTGCTCACTACACTGTAGGACACTAGGATTGTATGTGCTTGTAGTCTTTGTGACTCCTGTTGTATGTACACTACTAGAAAACAACCATTTATTGACGCGCAAACAATGACACTCGCTAATAGAGGACGCATATTTGTGCGTGCCCTAAAAAATAATGTCAGTTTTGCAAACTTTGAAGGATAGAGGACACGCATTTGTACGTGCCCTAAAATTAGTGTCAGAAAAAGAAAAAAAAGGAAATGCGGAGGGCGCCTTTCATAAAATGTGTGTCGTTAAGTGTGTTGCTTTATAAATTTTTAATGAAACACGCGTTTTTTAAGGCGGGATTTCACCCGCCTGTTGGATCCCAAAAATTAAAACCCCCCCCCCCCCCCCCCTCTTCCAATTAGCAAGAAAAAGCCCTAGGGCCTTCGTCTTCATAGCAACATCGCACCACCACCCAACCTCCGATCTCGCACCGCCAAGTGTCTCCGACCATCTTCTCCAACCATTCTTTCCTGTCGCACTACACCGATAACAAAACCCCCCATCATGATATGCTAATGTTTGTATTTCTATCAATTGAGATCAAATCATTCATGTCACAGGTGCTCATGCTTCACGTTCGTATGATAAAACCCTAATCGTAAAAACCATCATTCTCTAGGTCGAGAGCAACGATTCCATCAAGAATGTCAAATACATGATACAGGTTCCTCTTTCTCCTCTATTCTTACCTCTAATTTTGATTTTGAAACTTCTCATCTTCTCCTCTATAAAACCCTAACCGGAAAAATTATACGAGTTTCAATTGTGATTTCCTCCGCCATACTCGATCCCTACTTCTACTCTCTACGCATCTCAGTTAGGATCCATTCTTTCTCCCCTTTTCTCCTTCTTTTTCTTTGTTTTCTCAGGTATGACATCATTCTCCCCTACTTTTCTACTTGTGCATCCCATTCTGATACTTTTCTACTTGATACAAATCATCGGCGATTCAAAACCATCAAACGCTTCAGCATCTATCGTATTCGGGTAATTCATCCCAATCCATTAACCCCTTTCATTTTTCATAAAAAAACCCTAATTGACTTGGCAAGTTCATGAACCAGATGTAGCACATCCCAAACTGGGGATTTAACCAAACCCGATAGAGTCATTGATGGAATCTTTGGATTCGGACAACAAGGACTCTCTGTAATCGCGCAACTTTCTTCACAAGGGATCGCTCCAGATGCTTTCTCTCATTGTCTCGTCGGAAACGGTGGTGGTGGTGGGATTTTGGTTCTAGGTCAGATAATCGAGCCAACCATGGTGTATACTCCATTAATCCAGTCACAGTAAGTTCTCTTTCGCTTATCTCTTATCATAAAACATTAACAATGGTGTACAGTCTTCTTACCCCTTTTCTCCCTTTTCTGCAATTGCTCAATCTCCCTTTTCTGTTGTATAGGCTACGATGGAACTACCAATGATTGGGATGACTACTCAAGATATGTGAATCCTGATGGAGTTGATTTATCTCATGTAAGAACCTGTTTCCTTCTGTGAGTTTTGTCTATATTTTGACTTGAAAACACGTTTATCATTGTATATTGTTTTTGGTTTCATTACAGGGTGTTTATGGTTATGGTTATGCACCATATGGACCTTATTCTCCCGCTGGCTCACCTAATTAGCCAACAGTAGGTCAATACGGTGAACTCTATGGGGACCAACATTACCAGTACCCTACTTCTTACTTCCCACCTATAACCCCTACAACCCCTTACTCTCCTGCTCCTCCAAAGGGTGAGATCACAACAACTAAAGAGGAACCTGCTTTATCTTTGGACACAACTAAAGGAAACCCAAATGGTGTGAAGAGGAACACTGCTTCTACCCCTATGAGGCCAACTTCATATCAAAATTTATCTTTCAATCCAAATGGAACCTATGGAAGAGGTGCACAAACTGGATATCAAGATCCAAGATACACTTGACAGTTGATAGTTTCTCAATTTGCTTCAAACAATCTTTTCTTTTCTTCTCTTTTAATCATTTGATGTTAATATTTGAGGCAACATATACAAAATGGCAACATATTTTCATTTTTAAATGATGTATTGTATCATAAACTTGCAGTCTATTACTAGAGCATATGGAAGGGTGGATGCAGATGGTTCCAGGTATCTACTTGGTGACCATCTTATTAGTTTTGTAAAAAAAATAAATAAATAAATAAACTGATTAAAGTAGAAGTTATAAATACAAATGTAACAGAAGCAACTATGTAAATATACTAGTTCCATTAGGTTTTCAACATACAAAGGAATTGCAAGGGAAATATTATAGCTTAAATCTTAATTACTTCCTGTTGCATAGATTCTGATAGGAGTTCAATCACCCAACATTCACTACATTAAACTATATAACTATTTATGTATTTCATAACTTATTCATTTGAAAAATATCAAATTTGACACTTATGTTCAGGTTTTTGCTGTTTGCAGCCTCAGGTATAAGTTAAGAGTTTTCCAGCAGAAGCAATCAATTCTCTTGCTTGCAATACTGATGGTACTTACATAGTAGGAGGAGGAGTTTCAGGTCATATTTACTTGTGGGAGGTGAGTTGTAAATTCATTTCAGTTTTCTACTCATAAAGAATACAGGGTTCTTTTGCCGATTTTGAATTTCTCTTCAAATTATATTGAAAACTTTGTTATTCTGATTTACTGTTGCTCTTTGGTTCCAACAATTCACTGTTTTTCATAATCGGATTAACTATCTGTGAAAAAATCATATAAAAACTGATCTTATTACAAGTCTTTTCTTTATTTCTTTTGATTTATTATAGGTTGCAACTGGTAGATTATTAAAGAAATGGCATGGTCACTATAGGCCTGTTACTTGCTTGGTCTTTTCTAATGATCAGTCACTTTTGATTTCTGGATCTGAGGATGGAACTGTTTGAGTCTGTTCACTTCTGATGTATGTATAATTACTCATTTACCCTTTTACATTCATGAGTTGCAATTTTAGGGTTTATTACTATAATACATTGTCACGGGCTATGGAGGATCCAATGCAATTATCTTATCTGCTTCTCTAGATCGTACTTGCAAGGTACATATTGCATAAATATTCGGAAAAGACATGAATGCCCTCATGAATTTGTTTAAATTGCAGGTATGGAGCCTAACTAGAGGGACATTGTTGAGAAATATTGTGTTCCCTTCAATAATTGATGCAGTTGCATTAGATCCAGGGGAACATGTTTTTTATGCTGGTGGGAGAGATGGGAAAATATACATTGCAGAACTCAATGCTCAAGTCACATCCAACAACAACAACAACAACTATGGTTTGCATATCATTGGCACATTATCTGATCAAAGGTATGCAATACCCAAACTTTTTTACAATATAATATTGTTAAATTAATAATCTAATTCCAACTTTTTTCTTGTATTTGTAATATATAGTAAGGCTATATGCTCTTTGGGTTTTGCATTGGATGGATATCAATTGGTTGTTGGATCAGTGGATGGAATGGTTCGTGTTTGGGACACTAAAACTCGTAATATCATTCGTCTTTTTAAACACGCAAAAGGTAAAGTTTTTTAAATATTATTTTAGCTACTTCTCTTTTAATTACAAATATATATATATATATATATATATATATATATATATATATATATATATATATATTTGTTGTGTTGGCACTTGGCAGGTCCTGTTAACAATATTGTTGTTATGCGACAACCAGTAGCGCTTTACCCTCGAACAGTAGCAAATAATAATCAAGGTCCAATGGGAAGAAGACACGTGGCATTACCACCTCCACTGTTAACGCTATAAATGTTGCCACTGTTAACGCTACTCAGGTATAACCAAGGGTATTTTGGTCTTTTAATAAATAAGTTTGACTAACCTTTTTAATTTCCATAACAAGTGCTATTGGCTACTAGAGGTGGCCATCTGGTTTACCTTGAAATTGGTGATTGTGTTTTAGTAGAAAAAAAACACGCATAACTGAAATATGATATCTCATGTCTTGACATAAACCCCATTGGTGAAATCCAAATTATAGTAATCTTGCTGCAGTTTGGATGTGGACTGATATTAGTGTGTCAAGATATTTTCACTACCCGATTTAAATCTCATCACTGAAGAACATCTAGGTGGCGAAATAATACCACGTTTTGTTCTTCTTTGTGCCTTTGAAGGGGTATGATTCTCATCTCATTTTCATCTTTATATTCATCTATGAGGGTAAATTTGTAAAAAGTGTTTAATGTTTAATTACAGATACCTTACTTGTTGTGTGCACTTGGGGATGGGCATCTTTTGAACTTTTTTACTCAACACAAGCACATGCGAATTAACAGACAGAAAAAAAGTGTCATTTGGGAAAGAATTAAGAATGTTGTCAGAGGCTGTAAGAGATGCTGGAGCCCTTAGAGAAGCTAAGGACAAACTGGAGAAGTGAGTTGAAGAGCTGACATGGATTAGACTTTGAAAAGCATTTGAGGGTATATTTTTTTATATTTCTTGTATCTAATTAGTTTGTAAATTTTTGTTACAACTTCTATTGATTTGTTTTATCTTTCCATGGAACGATTATTTGTATGACATTAAATTTTATGCAATGGATTGTATTTTTTGTATATGATATTTTATTTTCTATTATGAGACATTAAATACAAATTTAATTTGAAAATTAGTAAATCTATAAATAATATTTTTTAAAACATTTAAAATTATGATACGCAAAAAATGTGTGTCATCTTCATTTATGATATGACATGACCTTTCTTGACAGGGGCTTTAATGATACGCAATGCGAGTCGTAAATGCGCGTCGTAAGGTTACGACACAAATGCGTGTCATCTTCCTTTATGACGGGGCCTTCCTTGATACGCAATGCGTATCGTAAATGCGCATCGTAAATGCGTGTCGTAATTGTGCGTTGTAAATGCGCGTCGTAAATAGACGACGCGCAAAAGTGTGTCGTCTCTCGTTATGACAGGGCCTTCCTTGACATGCATTTGTGTGTCGTTTGAGCGTTTTACAACATGCATTGCGCGTCGTAAAATGCTGTTTTTCTAGTAGTGGTATGTATGCCTATGCGTCTGTTTGCTATATGTATGAGGGGTGAAATAGACCCGGGGGTGAAATAGACCCGATACAACCTTGTGCTGACATATGAGTTGAGATTGACTCGGGGGTGAAATAGAACCGGGGGTGAAATAGACCCGGTACAGCCTTCTGCTGACATATGAGTTGAAATAGACCCGGGTGAAATAGAACAGGTACGACCTTCGGCCGACACATCAGTTGAAATAGACTCGGGGGTGAAATAGACCCGACACAGCCTTGAGCTGGCGGATATGTATGGTATGCGGTAATTTGAGGAACTCACTATGTAACATCCGTAAAATTTCAATAAAATTTTAAACTTTTCAAAACAACCCTTTTTCTATAGAATTGTTTACAAAAACCGTTATTCCCAAAACATTATTTAAAAATCAGAATCTCTTTCAACATAGTTTTCAAAACATTCACATTATCAGAGTTTCCCAGAAATCATAAGTCCAAAACGTGAGGATGTGTCCGGTCATGCCTTCACCTTGCCACGGTCCACTGAAGTACCTGAAACCATAAACCAAAACTGTAAGCACGAAACTTAGTGAGTTCCCCCAAAGTACCAACACCCAAACCGATAAAATATACAAATAACAGCATGCATATAGAGCCTTCAGCATGCCAGGACCGCCTCGCAGGGCCTTCAGCCTGTCTGGACCGCTCCTGAGTCTTCGGCATGACTGGACCGCCTCATAGGACCTACAGCCTATCAGGACCGCTCCCGAGCCTTCGGCATGACTGGACCGCCTCGCAGGGCCTACAGCCTATCTGGACCGCTCGCCGGGCCTTCGGCCTGACTAGACCCAACCACGCACACATGTCGAAATATATATAGCAATTAAACACACATGTCGACATATATATATATATATATATATATATATATATATATATATATATATATATATATATATATAGCAATTAAACACATAACCAATCAACAAACAAAGATGCAGATCTTACAGATCACTAAGTATGACACTATCCTATTTATCACGATACAGATCTAATAGATCATAACAACATGGAAACATCCTATCTACAAGGATTCCGATCTAACAGATCACCACAACATGGCAACATCCTATCTACCAGGATACCGATCTAACAGATCACTACAACATACAAGCATACAATAAACCAGGCAAACAATCCGAAAAGGGCCGACATTGGTGCCTTCGATCCATAAGCACAGTGAGGAAGACTCACCTCGAATGCAGAAGCTCCCCGAAAGAAATCCCTAGCTGCTGCCCTGCCGGCTTCCCGAGCTATCAATACCAACAACACACCTAATTAGCAATTGCGTTCGATGCCATAATCCATAATCCATACTTGGGGTAAAGTGACCATTTTACCCTTGACCCAACATACACCAAAACTGAGGCCCAAAACCAAAAGATCCACAAAGGCCCACTAATGGCCTAATTTTCCAAATTGGGCCCAATCCCATATGGACCTTATCCTAAGCCCATATTTCCTTAAATACAATTCAGATTACCATAATTACCCCTTTGGACGAACTTGCTCAAAGTCATAAATCAAAAGTCAAAATCAACGGTCCAAATTGACCCAGATCGCCGAGTTATCATTCAACTCGTTGAGTTTCTTCATCAGACTGCAAAGATCGGGCAAAACCCCATCAACTCGCCGAGTTCACCCATGAACTCGCCGAGTTCATCAGAAATCCAACATCTTAATTCATTAAGCCAACCTTAGCGAAACTAAGGGCTTCACAACTCAGATCTTAACTGAAAATGGCCTCAAGAAGGGTAAAGTTTCCAACTTTACCCCTAAGAACCACCAAAATAGGTTCAAAACCCAAACCCTAACTTAAAAGGGTAAGGACTTAATCATCAAACACTAAATTACCAAAGGCAATACTCCAAGATGCATATCTGACCACTTAAGGCTAGATGACCATGTAAAGTTTCCAAGTTTACACGCATCCATAACTAGAAGAAGCTCAAATGCACAAAAGAGGCCAAAAGAAGGACTTAATGAATGCATGAAGCCCTAGGACCATAAAGTTGGCACCTTTATGCCAAAAGAACTCATGAAGATCATAGATCTGAAAAGGATAGACACTTGGGACTTCTACTTTCCCAACAACCACTCATCCATGGCTAAAAGCATACAAATGAACCCAAGAAGAGATCTAAGCCAAAAATAAGCAAGGTTAGAACTTTATACCCGAAATATGCTGGAAATGGTGCAAAGAACCCATATCTGAAAGCTCCTACTCGAACCACCACTTTGCACCAAGCCTTCCTTCCTTCAATGGTCTTCAAACACACCAAAACACACCCACAATGAGCTCACAACACTCAAGGAGGGTCTAGGGTTTCGAGATTAGGGTTAGAGGCTATGGAGGCTGGAAATGAGGCCAACATCTAGAACTTAAAGTGTTTAAATAGGGTGCAAAACCCTAAAATTTGGGTTTCCTTCAGAGTGGCCAACTCGCCGAGTTGAGGCTCTTCAACTCGTCGAGTTGCCTCATTAAACTTCGCGGTCAAGCAAGCTTCTACTCGCTGAGTTGAGGCTCCTCAACTCGTCGAGTAGACCCATTAAATCCCCATGATTCTTCATCCTCAACTCGCCGAGTTCAACTTAAAATTGGCATAATTCCACAATTAACCTTCTAGATTCCGGGTGTTACAACTCTCCCCCACTTAAATTAGATTTCGTCCTCGAAATCCCTCCTTATTAATACTCATAACAAAACGACCAACCTGATGGTCACAATCGGAAATTCTGCGCCTAAGACAGTCTTCTCATGGCAACCGGAACCCGAACCGAAACTTCCATCCCGAGGACAACAATCAAAACTTCAGTCCATGCAAACCGCTTCTACCCTTCTGAGACCTGGAATCTATAATGGTCTGACTCCCCAACAGAGCGCTCACACTGAAGCAACTCCATGCCAAGCTCTCAACGAATAACAGACCGACCATAACACTTCCAACTCTGATCATACAATGGTCTATCCTGATCTACCGAAACCATCCCTAGAATAGTTCTTCAAGCCCGATGAAGAACAAATCGTCAATCTTGAATAAAAACCAATCTTACCTCTCCTGAGATCTGAAACCTAAAGTGTTTAACATGGATAATTTGCAATACTTGATACCTATGTTATAGAACAAATTACCATAAAATCTATTAGATAACGTTTGATTGTCAATAAGAGTAAATTACACGAATGGTCCCTATGATTTTGGGTAATTTGCGCGCTTGGTCCTAACTTATTTTTTTAACTCGGAAGATCCCTAATGTTTGTTTTTGTTACGTGCTTGGTCAATGTTTTACCTAAAAAAAACTATTATTTAAATAAGGAAAAATGGTGGGGTAGATAAGGTAAGACAAGGGGGTGGGAGAAATAGTCTTTTTATGTAAGACAGACCAAACACGTAACAAAAACAAACAGTAGGGACATTCCGAATTAAAAAAATAAGTTAAGAACAAAAGAAAATTATTTGTTTTACTTCAAGGTTAAATGCAAGATATTTCTTGTTTCCTTTCTAATTTAAATGCAAGAAATTTATTTATTATTGAGTTTTTTTCCCACATGTCATATCTATCTTTTACCCTATACCAAATTTAAATTAGAGGTGACTATGGGTCGACCTTGGTTGGGTTCGGGTTCAACCCATTTAATAATTAGGTTGAAAATTTCAAACCAACCCAACCTCTTTATTTAAATGGGTTGATATTTCCAACCTAACCCAACCTTTTAGATAAATGAGTTGTCACTGGGTTGACCTGTTTATGTAGTTCCTGACCCAGCCTATTAAATAAATGGGCTAAACTTGGGTTAACTCATTTAAAATCAATTAAATAAATTATATAATTAAATATTATACCACTTAAATTATAAAACATAAATAAAACTTCATAATTATAACAAAAGCATAATCCTAATTCTTAAATACAAATAAATTGTTCAAATAACATTAAAAATGTTTAGTTTCACAATGATTTTGGAGAGTGACCAGTATTATCGGCGCTAAAAAAGGATGGAAATTAGGATTGAATTTTATTAAACATAGATAATAATAATGCAACATTATAATTTACAAATTAATACTTTGATTAATACATCATAATATTTAAATAATATTAAATTATATATATATATATATATATATATATATATATATATATATATATATATATATATATATATATATATATATTAAAGTTAAACGGGTTGAAAACGGGTTGATAATATTTACCCAACCCAACCTATTTAATTAAGCGGGTTAGACGAGTTGACCCATTTAAGTTAAATGGGTTGAAAATCTCAACGCAACCCGCTAATTTTTGGTTGGGTTCGGATTGGGTTGACGGGTTGAATCGATTTTTGTCGGCTTTAATTTAAATAGGAAATCATTACCACGTTTCCGTACCATTTTAATTTCCATCTCATACTTTTCATTTTTTTTGTAGTGTTTTTTTTTCATTTTTTTTCAATAATTATAAATATAAATTATATAATAGTAAAAAACATCTCATTTAAATTGAAAAAAAGACATTAGAAGGCTAAAAAAATACATAATTTTTTCTATAAATTTTTTTGTTAGAAACTTGCATAAAAATATAAAAAAGATAAGAGTTGTGTGCGGGAAAAATTAATTGGGGTTGAGCTATATTTATAGGAAAAAAATATTTTTTTATTCCAATGTAACCATTTGGAACGGTCAAATGCATCTATCCTTTAATTTTACATGTTGAGACACGTTGAGATGGCAACAAGCCTTAACCCGACTCTGGATGGTGTTCTTTAAACCTTAACGACATAGGATCCTCCATGCAGTGGAGACCCATAGGGTTAAATAAAAGAAAATAACAATCGTATATCTTATATTTATTATAACATAGTACTTCTACTTTTTGATATTATAACATTCTATTATGGAAAAAATAAGATTAATGACATAAGTAAATAACCAATTATCTATATCTAAAGTATTTCGAAAACACCACTATACTAAGAAAATGTTGTGAGAAATTACTAATTTTTATTTTTGCTTTAGCATGGTATGTAAACGGGCTAATCACGGTCATGCCATAATGTTGTAAGAACACAAAAATAAAACTAGATTACTTTTTTACAATATTATTTTAATACATTGATATTCTTTGAAAACAATAGAAATAATTGGTTAACAATTGTGTCATTAATCCTTTTTGAAGCCACATATATAGAGTTTATAATTTTCTTTCCAGGCGGCAATCCTCAACATTCCATGTGCAATAATTTTGTCTTTAGGAGCACATGTTGGAGTATCTTTAGGGTTTAGTTCCTACAGTGAGAGCTTCCAAAAAACACCGATGATCACGACGCTTAAAATATTCTCCACCATTCACATAAACTGCTATAGGATAAGATGTAAATTGAGCTAGTATATTGGAAAGGTTTTAACAATTAGGTCATTGTTAAATACTATTTTATTAACAATCAAGAACATGTATAAATTCATCTATTTCCTTCATCCTCCCGAGTAACAATATGGTTTTATTTAAAGAGAATAAATATCTATAAAAGATTTTTCCTCTTTGAAGAAGAAACAAATATCTATAACAATTACAGTTTTTCTATTTCTTAATTTATATATCTAGGAACTTGAAGAAGGTGCAAATGTTCACATTAGCAGCTGACATATCATTAATTAGATTGAGCAGTCATCATTTTAATGTCTTCGATCAAACGATCTAAATTCCTATAAGAAGATCCACCGCTGCTCACAGACTCCTTCGCCAGTTTCGCCATACGACGGGCGGATTCTTCAAACTCTTCCTTCCTAACTTCCATTACTTCTTTTACAATCTTCTCAACTATCCTTCTATCACACGTGTCTTTCATATCCAACCCTAATTTCCACACAGCCTCCACGAATCTACTATTCGGTTGTTGATCTGCAAAAAACGGCCAACTCACCATCGGCACTCCTTCAACAATGCTCTCCAACGTCGAGTTCCATCCATTATGTGTCAAAAAGGCACCTACAGCTGAATGGGTTAAGACATCTTCTTGTGGAGCCCACCCAACTAGATACCCTCTTTCTTTAGTACCCTTTTCTAGCTCACTTGGCACCTTGTTTTCATCATCAAGACTCGAAACAAGATCCTCTCGAATGACCCACAAAAATGGTTTCTCACTGTTAACCAAACCATGCCAAAACTCGATAAGTTGGTCTCTTGTTAGTGTTGCTATGCTTCCAAAACTCACGTATAATACCGACTTGGGTGCATGTTGATCGAGCCAACCTATACATGTCCTATCTTCTTGGAATAAGCTATTTGAAGATGTGGATTTTGATATGGATCGGGCTTTGAGGTGTGCATGAAGTGGTCCGATGGTGTAAATATTATTATTTGGGCAGTGTTTTTGTATGTGAGAGAGAATAGGGCCTTCAAGATCTTCAAAAGTGTTGAGAATGAGTGCATGGGCATCTGGTGTCCGGCGTGTTATGCTGCTAACTTCTTGGAACGTGGTGTTGCTTAAGCCGGAACGACAAAAGCTTGGAAGATCACGCCGGCGAAGGAATCCTTCCATGCCTTTCACGTTGACTATTCGTTCGTCCAAGTTTGTACCTTTATTCATTACAAATTTCAGATATCAAAAAAATATTCGAACCAAACTCGATAAAGTTTAAGTACACATGTGTTTGTAAAACATTTGAGTAATTAATTAGTAATTACGTACCTTGAAAGGGAAGGTCGCCGGAGTTTATGAGATCAGGGATGCAAAAGTAAGCCCAGAAAGCACAAGCACTAATCGTCCGAAAGAACATGACGGGAACTCCGGTACCCGCCGCCGCATCCAGTGAAAAACCCAAGATTCCGTCAGCTATAAAACAAGTCACCTGAGAATCGAGAAGCAACATTCTGAGCAAGGGTGTAGTTACTTTAGGCAAAGAATCAATTAACATCAGACTGAGTTTTTCATCGGTGTCTATGGGGCCTTCATAGAGACCATGAATGACGTGGAACCGGAAACCCGGGTAGGAGCTGAGGCGGGAATGGACGGTGGTGAAGCGGGATAGGCGGTCATGGTCTTTGGCGGATATTAGAAAGGTGATGTGCAGACCCGCCGGCAGGAGCAGCTCCGTCAGCTTTAACATGGAGTTCACATGGCCTTGCGCCGGACATGGAAAGATAAGAACATGCGGTGGAGAAGGTGGTTTCGGATCCATGAATGATCTTTAATTCTGCAGATCAGAGATAAGAGGTGACCACTTTGAAATGTCTAGACAATCCATTTTATCCGTTGTTTCACCACCGCTTTCTCTAGAAATATAAATCTAGTAAAGTAACTGTTATTTTATTTAAAGTGCATGTCACCATTAAATAAATTTTATAAAATTCTGTTTTATCTCATAGATAATAGATTTACATTTTGTAGTGAAAAATATGTTTAAAAGCTTTTGGTTTACAAAGTTGACATTATTTGTTTTAGATATGAGTAATAATTTGGTTTCTTATTTGTTTTATCTCACACATAGAATAAATAAACCAATAACCGTCTATTGATACTTTGTAGTTTGTATTAGACAAGTGATTTGGATGCGTAGGTTTTACATGAAGCGTTTGGGCTTTGTCCTTGGGCTTACATGAACCACGTTTTAGGTAAATCATCTTGATAATTTGATATATGGTGATTGTTTCTCTTGTACATGAACAACAGAACAAGTTCACTAATTTTGATCCGTGGCGAGTCTATAATAGAAAAACATGTTCTTCACTAACCGAGTTTAACCTGGACGGTTCAAGAGAAAACCAGGTTCAATCGGGTCCGTTCAACTAGAAAAATAACTAGTTCCGCATAAATAAAAATTGGTAATGAAAGGACCAAACCAAAACCGATTCTTCTTTTTTTTTAAACAAAAACTCACAATCTTATACTTGGAGTTAGCCGGTCCAAACTAGATATCGACAAGCTTATGGTGTAAAAATATGAAAATGTAAGCATTTATTTATAATAGAAAACCCTTAGCCATTTTCTTAATGATGTCAATGTCGGACACTTTCATGCTAAAAATATAATATGCCTACTATTATCTATAGTTTATATCTTTTTTCCTTCCTTTTTTTTCCAAACAAATTAGCTAGGTCCACCAAAATAAGTAAGGTAGGTCATAAATATTTTTTATATGTAAGGTGTTGTAAACATCTAAATTTTAGGTGGGTCATGTGACCCACCTTTGTATTATGTAGCCTCGCCACTGATTTTGATCGGTCTCGAAAAAGGACAGAGGCTGAACCGGTCTATAACAAGACCGGGCTGAAAAATGATCGGTCTGGAAAAAACAGATTGTTTCGAGACCCGTTTAAAAAAGACCGGAAGCCAAAGGTTATAAACATATTATTTTTGTGTTAATTAAATATTTTATGTACTCACATATTATCCAACTTGTTCCTTTTTTCTTTTATTAAATTTTAGTGTATAATTTTAGTAAATCTTAATATATCATTTTTGTGTCAAGCACACATGCATTTATTAACGAAAAAATTCGAAACCGAAACAAAACCGCAAAAGCGAACTAAAAAATAAACTTACTTTCATTTGTTTCTATTAAAACATTGTACTTTAATAGTACTTATTAAAAATCATTCCCACCCATGTTTTTTATCTCTTTAGATATTGACCAAACTCCTGAATGACCTTAGACCTATCCCTAAAGCGACACATCTATTAATTGTTTTATAAAGCGTAATCATATATTTTAATTTTGTAAAGCTATATGTTTCTTTATATACTATATGCAAATTCAATAAAACATAAATTTTAGCGGATAGAAGTTTAACAAATGAAAATTTTAATTTAATAAAAATTTCATCATTTTTAAAAATTATAATAAGTTACAAAAAAACCAATAAAAATATAGTTTGGTAATATTACATAATTTACTTTTCTCTCATTTGGCACATGATCATAAAAAGAAACTCTACCCTCACATTCGTATGGAATTTGATCAACTAAATTATTTTTGAAAGTTATAAATGGCAAGAGTTATCTATGTTGTTCTTCACAAATATCTGACGAATGATGATACAAATAAGTCAATTTTCCATAAAGTTGTTTTGTTGTATTACAATATATAGTTCGTTGTTTGATCAAAAACATATTATCCATCCTAACAACATGTAACATCCCATGTTTCACAACCAAAATTTTTCATTTTATTTAAGTAAATCTTCCCAATTATAACTTTGTTATAGAGAAAACCGTTTATTCCAAATACATTTATAAAAGATCGGAGTTATAGTAAAGCGCGAGAATCCTCATGTTTGTTGATGAATATGTACAGTCACGCTTTCGCCTTTCCATGATGACCGATGATACCTGAAACAATAAACAACTGGGTAAGCACAAAGCTTAGTGAGTTTCCCCCAAAATACCCCATACGATAAACATACAAGCATGCATCGGGTCCACTCAACCATCGGGCTGGAATACCCAGGGTTTGTCGGCCTACCGCCTCAACCCAACTGTTCTACCAGAGCCTTCGTGCCTATGACTTACAGTCGGCTCGTACCGGGTATCTTGGCCTACAGCACAAAGCATGGCCGCCTCAACCCACTACTACCATATGTCGACATATAAACAATTAAGGATCAAGTAGGCACATAATACAGGCAAACATCAATCATACAGCTCACTACCGCCTACTAGTCCTCTCATGGCATACAGTCCTGCTACCAGCTAACCTCCATAGAATGTGTAACCATAAGTAACCAGAGGTGAGATAGCCACCCGAACAGATGATCCTACTCTAGAGCCATAACCAAACAAGGAACAAGCAAGAAAGCCTATATCAAAAGTTCTCAGGCTATCCTACATGACCACAGACAGTCCCTAGGGCACTCCACTAGATGATAACCAACAAGTACAGATAACATACAGTTATACAGATCACTACAACAAAACAACATACTTGATACCATGATACAGATCTAACTGATCACCACAACATAGCAGCATACTCGATACCAATATACATATCTAACAGATCACTACAACATACCAGCATAATCAATACCAGGATATAGATCTAACAGATCACTACAACATAACATCATACTCGATACCATGATACAGATCTAACAGATCACTAAACCATAAACAACATACTAAATATCAACAATCCAAGGAATGCATGACCGTATATACTCAGAGGTGAGATAGACACCCGGACAGGTGATCCTACTCTAGAACCACAACCAAACAAGGAACATATAAAAGATCCTAGATCAAAAGTACTCATTGTATCCTACATGACTGTATACAGTCCCTAAGGCATCCCTCTACTAACAAATAACCAAAACTAGTGGGCCGACATTGGTGCCTTCGACCCACGGGTATAGTGAGGCGAAAACTCACCTGAATTGAAGAACTCTGAACACTACGATATGATCCATTTCTAAGCACTGCTTGCTCCCGCGAGTCCACTAACACAGGAACCAGATAGAATCTTAGTCAATAGCCCAAAATCCTCAAGTTTGACCCAAAGTTAAACTTGGTCAAAAAGTCAACGGTCAACGGTCAACGAAAGTCAACAACCAGCAGACCCTCATGACGTGGCCAACTATGGTTCACGTCGTAAGCCACTTCAGGACAAAATAGACAGGTCTCAACACCCTCACGACGTGACATGCATCTCCTCACGTCGTGAGATCTGTTTAAATGCCATATTGCTCCAAAAACTTCTTAATCCATTAAGCCACTAATCCATCTGTTCCAGGAGACTTCCTAACACTCCAAGGATCATAAAAATCAGTGCTTTAAGGTCTTGTATGTCCAATACAAGACTTGAGCTCAAGGTAGGCCATTTATAAAGAGAAGGAAGTAATTTCTCGTGCATGGACTCAAGCATCCTCCAAACTCTAGATCCATGACATATAAGCATCAAGGGACCCTAAGGACCTATAAAGTTGCCAACTTTATGGAGTCCCAACACTCCAACTCTTAAGATCTTGGATACATATGCATAAAACCTTAGATCTAGCAACAAAGAAACATAAAGCTAGGAACTTGGTTAGTCACATTGGTCCAGAAGTGTAGCTAAAGGCTGTAAATGTAGCTTCCAAGCTGCAATTAGACTTTCATGATGATCTCTTCCTCTTAAAGGCACCAAAACTCCACCAAAAGTTCAAGAATCACAATGAGAGGCTAGGGTTAGGGTTTTACTGAGTTTGGGCACGAAGGAGGTTGGTTTGTTACCCTAAAATGAAGTTCATGGGGTTTAAATACGATGGAAACCCTAAAAGATCGTGGGTTTGGGGTGTAGCGTATCTCACGTCGTGAGATCTTATTAATCACATCGCGAGCTCAGTTTAAATCAAAATCTTCATTTGATCACTCCTCACGCCGTGACCCTTCTATGGTCGCGTCGCGAGCATTGATTTTACCCAAAAACCAAGCCTTTGACTCCGTGAAGCCATAAGCCGATCCGATCTGGAAACGGGGTGAAAGACCCACACTTTCATACTACACAACATAGTTACTCCAAAACATGCTACATGCATATTTATAAAACAATATCTTACATTGATAAAGTGATTACAAAAGATTGGATACAAACCGACTATGTTTTAATATTTTACATAACTACCCATGATATTGTAATTTTATACATACATGATCCCTAAATACAAAAGTAATATTACAACTATTCTAAACCTTTCAACAGTATATGACTACACTGGTTACTTATCTCCTGCAAAATTTGTTAAACATTGAGAGGGTAAGCGTTGACGCTTAGTGAGTTCAATAATAGATACAATATAATGTTATGTCATATATATACTTCAATATGGCAGAAGCAAAGAGGAACAAGGAACAACAAAGGCATAATGCGAAAAGCTTTCTATATCAATCAATGAGACATAACAATTTCCATACTTGATATACAATCAATAAAGTTTCAGCACAAATGGCATAGAAAATACTCAGGAATATCATTTTGCTAGAATATTTAGGCTTTCAGCCTTATCTTAGCATACTACCGAAGCCAAAGTGATGCCTATGTCATACACTTCATGGTCAACGGTTCATACCAATACCCAAGTGATGCCTATGTCATACACTTCGTGGTCAAAGGTACAGCCTTGCTATAAAAATAGCAAAAATAATAACTCGAGATGATAACATGGAAAAGCACATAGCACATATAACACATAACATACAATTGTTCCTATATATTAAACTCACCTTGAAATAACCGGGGGTTAAAATAATAATTTGTGCAACATTTCGGCTCTAAATATGAATTTATTCGTCGA